GGCTCCAAGGTTGCTGTTGGGTGTGCCTTAATCGCCAGCAAAGACCTGCCCTTGCTACCTTGTTGACGTAAGAGGTTTTCGTAGACCAAGTCCCCCCTGACACGTTGGCATAGTAACAGCTCCCCAGCTGACTAAGTGCAATTTTCTTTTTTCAGGGGTGGAGCCTCATAAGAAGTCACACTGGATTTTATCTATGGCTTCACAAGTTGCAGTTGGTAGCGGGGTGCTATGGGCAATTGGGCATAGAAGGAGGAGATGCCCAAGGTAACTTGTTGGATGACTGCTTTCCTTCTAGCAAAAGAAAGGAGACTAGCTTTCCAACCAGCTAAGTTTAGACCGAATCTTGTCCAAAATGAAGCTAAATGATTGGCTGGAGATTCTAGAATGAGCAATGGGAATTCCTAAGCATCTTCCAAGTTCTTCAGTCTCATCAATCCTCAAGAAGGAAGTTATTTGGGCCTTGAAGTGTGGGCTCACATTTTTGGAGAAAAAAAAATCCTGGACTTGTTCAGATTAATAAATAATCCAGATCTTAAGCTGAAATTGCCAAGGACATCCTTCACTCCTCTAATAGAAGCTTCTGAGCAGTTGGAAAAGAGCACCATATCGTCTGCAAAAGTGCAGTGGGATAAAAGGGGACCATTTCTTCCTATTTTGAGAGCTTCCCATTTTCTGGTCTCTAGAGCTTGTTCTATGCTTTTTTCCGAAATCGGTAAATAACACACACACCCAATTAATTTAAACAAACAGTTAGTCGAAAAATCGACCCTAAAGCAATTTAAGGGGACCTACAAAGAACCACTGTTCAGCCAATTGATGACAGAACAGGGTCCCTGTGGACCTTAAACCTACAGTAAAGATCCCACGATCTTTTGATGTGGGATAGGAAGCCCTAACTCCCTTCCCTCGCGCACATCCTCACCATGTGAATGGTTTGTTTTTTTTGAAATCGGTAAATAACACACACACCCAACTAATTTAAACAAACGCAAGAGTTAATAAAAAAATCGGCCCTAAAACAATTTAAGGGGGACTCACAAAGAACCACTGTTCAACCAATTGGTGATAGAACAGGGTCTCTGTGGACCTTAAACTCAGAGTAAAGACCCTACGGTCTTTCGATGTGGGATAGGAAGCTTGTTCTATGCTTAGAGATAAGAATTTCGTGCATAGGATGAAAAGGTACGGTGAGATGGGGTCTCCTTGCGGGATACCTCTGGTGGGGTGCAACCATTTCAACGGGTAGCCATTGAATAGAATTGCCAACCTAAGGGAAGACCTAGTTTAGTTGATAGCAACGGGTGGCTGTGATATACCTAATTCGACTCTCAAATGCTTCATTTTTTTTTTTCCTTTTTTGCTCTTCGACAAAAAATTTAGAGTCTTCTTTAATGTATTAAACTGTAACTTATCGAAATAAAACTTGGAAGGATGAACACATAATACAAGATCATCAAGTTAAATTAGCATGTTACTACTTTTCCTTGAGTGATTAGTAAGAATTGTTTTTCTTATACAAGTTCAAAACATGAGAGAAATTTTAGATTGATAATCACTAATGCATGTGCATGTACGTGCATTTTCTAAGTAATTTAGAGGTTTCTATACAAGCTTACCATGAAATTGTTTCATATATATAATAATAAAGCTTGTGTACGTAGTTTATACTCCTTAATACTCCATCTTTTCTACATTTATAGTAGTTTTTTTTAATATAAAGATATGTAAATCATTGTGTTCCATTGGATGAATTTAGAGATGTAATTTTTGAATTTAAACTATTGACATGGTAAATTCGGCAAAATTGGAAATCAACTAATATTGTATGTTAGCTTTAGAATTGACTGGTTATTTCAGAACACCCAAAAAAAAAAAAGGAAACATGACATTAAAAAATGGACCGTGGAAGTAGTTACCTAGAGCACACTGCCACGAGGACATCACCATATGGAACCTCTTAGCATTTATGTCTATATATACTTCCGTGACCTATGGAGGACTGATATCGTTTACAATCAGACGACTCAACGAGATATCCTCCATCAATTACCATCAGGGTACCAGAGCTAAATCTGACAAAATATTATTGCCTTTGGCCCATGATGATCATTGCAATAGAAGGTCATGAGTTCTCCATCAACCATCAAACTGAGAAGCTTCGTTATCAATTGCACACTGATCTGCAACATGAATGGTTCTCAATCCACGTCGTAAAATAGGGAAGAAGTTGGAGTTCAAGGCCAGGATGTTGTCCTGAGCAGTTTGAATGGCAGTGCCCTCCCTGGCCACCTTCATAAGCACAGGATCCGCCCGTCTTGGACTAACAAATCTCAACACTATCGTAGTGCCAAAACACATCTAACGTTAAAAATGAATAACCTCGTCTTTTCAAGCGTTGATGTCCGGTCCAGATCAAGGACGTTGTTGGCGTGGTTGCCAGGCGCTTGTGTTTCTTTGAGATTCCTGTATATCATTTGATTTTGCTCATTGGAACTGATACAGTAAACAAGCATTCGACGGTAAAGGAATGACAATTGATCCCCAAAAAACACCCACTTTCCACAATTAACATCAATGCACAGCTTTGAATTTATGTCCATTTGGGTTTCGCATAATCTTGACAACTGAATCCCACGTAGAGGGTCTGCACGGATTCAATTTTATGTCCATTTGGCTTTTGCATTTTGATGGAAACGAGCGTTGAAATCCATCACTGCATCACTAGCTTTTCACCTTTCAAGTTGACAACGTGCGACTAATGATTTTCGTTATCAAATTGAGCCTTAGTTAATTAAATCGAGGCTGAAATTTTCATTAAGGCATGGTTCCTTAACAACCTGGTTAAGCGGCTAACAACTTCGAACTTTGAAGCTTGAGCAGAGACCGGGATTTTACTTTATTCTTTTAGTTGGAGAAAAAAAAGTCATCAGAAATTAAAAGCATAGTGGCAATTATTTAATGCAAATACCAGGTCAGGTTTGGATGTGATTGTCAAAGGCTGTTACTAGTTGATTGAGCTCTTCAAAGTTTTTTGGGTATTAAAGAAATGATTCTTGAAAGAGAACCATATAAAATAAGCGGTCAAGTTCCAACAGGAGAGGTTTCAATTTTGTTTATTGTTGGGTTGATAAGATAAGCTCAAGAGGTTATGTCTAAGCAGCCATGTTATACGTTGACAACTTATTATATAAAATTCCAATTACCCTAATCTCAATTCAGTGGGTGCTTGATGCTTCATCAACTTGAATCTAACCCAACAATTAACCAGCAAATCATCCAAAAGAAAAAGGTAATCAATTTGGGCACAAATTTGTAGTTTTTCTCAAGTCCATGAAGTGACTGACTAATCCTGGGGCATTGATTTGGTCCATATTTTTCTTAGAGCTTTTTTTTTTTTTACCGTGATTCAATTTTTGCAGAAAAGCTCTACTGTTGTCATATTGCTCCTGTTTTATGCCTGGATGAATTTTGCGTTTTAATTACCAACTGATCATGTTTCCAGGAAATTGGGATCTAAATTTACGACAGAAGGGAGTTCTTGACATCTACGTCTTAATCAAGATTCTTGCTGTACAATTGCAACTTGAGGGAAAAATTGATCAGAAAACTAAACAAGAACCTAAAAAGTCATGCTGACTTCTTGACCCAACCCAACTGGTGAAGACAAAATTAAAATGTCATGTTTCCTGCATACTTTTGCTTGGATCCATGTAGTCCATGCCTTTGAAGTTAACCCACATACTCATCTCTAAATTCACATTAAATACTTGAAGATTTTAAAAATCTAAGACACAGAAGAAATTCGTCTTCCCTGTTGGAGCCGTACAGCAACTAGGGTCCTTTATTTGAATTTAAGACCAAGGTGCCCCAACGCAATTATATCAGGGTTGTTCAAATATACACATCAGGGCATCAAGCAGTTGTATAATTGTTGGGGCACAAGAAAAACAAGGTGGTAGGAAAAGTGATAAGTGGACTTAGACTTCAGCTTTTAATACATTACATAGCTTTATTATTTCTTTATTTTCTCACATCTCTCTGGTAATCCAAATTGGAGTATAGTTTGATTTTAATACAAGTGGTATAGAGATAAAATGTGCAAAGATTTTTCTGTTTTCACTTTCTGTCTCACCTTTTATTGTATAGTCGTTTGTGATTCACAAAACACTTATCCTTTTTTTCCCCTTTAACTTCTAATAATGAATCTCGCCGTGAAAAACAAAATACAACAGGTTAAGACAATGATATATATATATATATAATAGAAAAAATTAATAATAGAAAATTCATGAAACTTCCGTATTTCTCTTAGATTTTTTTTAGTTTGGCGTAAATTGTTTCTTGCCCTGATATTTGTTATCAGAAGTTAAGGAAAAAAAATAATGAAATCAAGTGTTTTGTGAAGCACAAATGACAATATAATGAAAAGTGAGACATGAAGTGGGATAGAAATTGAGATAGAAGATCTTTCGCAGATAAAATGGTTCCCAAAAGATCATGGCCAAGATTTAATTAAGAAGTTTATAATGAATTTCGTAATGCAATTGAGGTGCGAATCAATTAATACAAATTTTTTTTTTCATATACGACAAATTTTTGCAATATAAAAAAGTTGATGGGACAATGTGGAGATATCAATATCTACCTTGCTTCATTATGAACGGTTTAGATTTCTCGTCCCCAACTTGGACTTGGACCGGAATAAAAGATATCCATCCTGCTTCTTTTGTGACTTTGTCATGTACTTGGCTCATCTTTCGACGTGCCAATTTTGGCTATTGCCTATTGCACCCGTTAATATATAAAATTACCATATGCAAAAATGTCAACGGTTATTACGTTTAAAAAACATATATAATCTTTGAATGGACCACAGCATTTGTCATACTCATCTAGCTAAAGTCGTCAACTTGTTTTGTTAAGCTGATCAAACCTTTATATAAAGTACAAACTGCCCTGTACAACCCACCCTGGCTTTTTTTTTTTCTTTTTCTTTTTCCCTTCTCACCTAACTCTCAAATTTTAACTGAAAATTGAAGAAGAAGAAGCTAGACAGAAAAGATGAAGCTGATTTGGTGTCCTGAAATAGCAGCAAAAGCTTATATTGACACTGTGAAATTCGTAAGCTATATATACAGTATTGACATGGAATGTAGCGTCAACTCCATTCATTTTTATGTATTACATTGTTCCTCAGTTTCTAAAACGTTAGATCAGCTTCCGAAACTCAATTAGCTCAGGCTGTAATTTTGAATCAGTGGTGAGTAGTCAATTTGATAAGGCGGTATTTGGAGGAAAAAGGAATAAATTTAGCTACATGTAGTCGTTTCTTGAATTGTGATTCTTGACTACGATTAAACATTTATGTTGTTTTTTTTTATAGACATAATTAATTTGTAATATTGCAGTGTGGCCTTTCCATGGAATCCAGTGCTCCAGAGTTGATATCTGCAATGGCCGGTGGATGGAACGCGAAGCTAATCGTCGAAGCGTGGACTAATGGTGGCGCTGCCCCAAAAAATAGCATCGGTCTTGCAATCGCCGCTCGTCACTCCGGTGGAAGGCACGTATGCATTGTAGCTGATGAAAAGTCAAGACAAGAATATACTTGTGCCATGCAAAACAGGCCTGCAGGCATAGCATTACCGGAAGTCATGGTAGGAGAGGCCGAGGAGTTGATGGGAAGACTAACTGGTATTGATTTTCTGGTTGTTGATGGCCATTGCAAGGATTTTACCAGGGTCTTTAGTTTTGCCAAGTTTAGCCATCTTGGTGCAGTTTTAGTATGTAAAAATGCTAGTAGAAAGACCTTTTCTTGGTTCAGATGGAATAAAGTTCTTGATAGTGCAGTCAGCGTCGTGAATTCAAGAAATCTGCCAATTGGGAGTGGAATTGATATCGCATATGTTGCAGGTGAAAAACGATGCTCAGGGAAAGTCACCAAAGGTTGGATCACGCACATGGATCAGCAGTCCGGAGAGGAGCATGTTTTCCGCAGATAAAACAGGCGATTTTAATCATCTTAGTAGTCGTATTTAGTTGGCTTAATTATCCATGTAAACTTCCTTACCGGAACGAAGGTAATCAGGCACTTGAGAACATGGCGGAGACTATGATGGTGCTTGAAACAACTTCTGATAGTAATAAACCCTATGCTTTGGCGATATATATAGTAGCAATATCATCAAGTTTTTGCTTTGATGCAAAGAAACGAATTAATCCATATATATTGCTTTTATTCCTTGAAGTTCATTGCTTCTAGGTAGAGTTGTTAATCGAGTCGAGTCGAGTTCGAGCACATGATAATTCGAACTTCAAAAGTTATTCAAGATCGACTCGTCAAACTCGATTGAAAACTAGAACTCGAGTTCAAAATCGAGCCAAGCTTAACGAGCTGAATCGAGCCCTTATCGAAAAAAGAAAAGAGGGTAAAACTATCAGATACATAATGCAATTACAATAATGCCCCTACTGTTTGAGCTTATCGAGCTGTTGGCGAGTCGAGCATAGCTCTGCTCGTTTAATAGACGAGTATATATACAACTCGAGCTCGGCTCGTTTTTCTCAGTAAACGAGCCGAGTCGAGTAGGGTCGAACTCGGCTCGCGAACTACCTGATTTCGATTAACAGCTCTACTTCTAGGCAAGGAACTGAAGTCTCGTAACTTCAGTTAGGATAAGTGTACTGTTCTAGTCTAAGGCAAAATATGATGGTCTAAGAACGTCTAGAACAATTTTTTGTGTGTGTTATACAAGGTTAAGTATTAATGCAACACAATTATCTACAGCAAGAATACTGTGCTGTACAGTATTTTGAACCATCATGGATGGAGGACTTCTTGACTTAAACAACTTTAATGGGGAATAAAATGGACATCGTGTGCATTTTCGTGGATTTAGACCACTTTTCCTCTGCATTCTCGATGGCAGAAACTGTAGATTTTATTTTTGTTTACTGTAAATTGGATCCTAGTAGTTATATATATTGGTTTTTTTCTTTTTTTTTTATTTTGTTTTGCACTTCATTCCCAAAATTCACAATTTTAATTGGAGAAGATTTTAGAAACTGAAATGATACTACAATTTATGTAGGCATAGCTGCAAAAACTACCCCTGAGGTTTATGATCATTTCACTAGCGCACCCAAGGTTTTAAATATTACATCTGACTTCCCTGTTGTGAGTTTCAACGTAGCAAAGTCAGCTCCTCTACATAAAAATCAAATAAAATGCTAAACAGTTTAATTCCTGAATGACCCTTTTGTTGCTGATGCAAAATTAATACAACAATTTAATTAAAATTTGTATTCAAAATGCAAAAAGAAAAAGAGAAAGAAAGAAAAAAAGGCAATCTTGAAAATTTGTTTTAAGGCAGGCCACAAAAAACCGTCTAGGTCTTGGTAACAAAGCCATGAAGAAAAATAAATATCTAAATCTTGATACTTGTATATATTTAGACCCCTAAGAAATCTAAATCACAAATCTAAGTTAAAAAAAAAAAAGGACTCGAAATGACAATATAGAAAAAGGAAAAAAAATTGATGCTCATTAGCAATAACGAAGTTGCTAGGCCACATGACCACATTTCATAGCATCTAAAATAGGTGAATTGATGATCAAACTTTAGAACATCTAAAAATAAAATGTCTTTAGACTTTGGCATCTTGAACGAGTCTTTCCAAATATCAAGATTTATTTATTTATTTTGTAATTCTCTCAATAGCATCATTAGAAACTACCTCCTCTACACTATTTGCAACTTGACATAGAAAATTTCTCAAGATAACGTTTCCTTCTTTTCTGCTGCATTTTCAACTTGTTATAGTATTAATCTTTGATGTGTTACGTAAGGCTGATTTTGAAAAGTACGCAGTACATTGAGGTTTCTGGATTTATCTCTTTCATTTAATCTGATGAGCCAAAATCAAGTCATTCTCAAGCTTGGCAACTAGATGGAACCGTGCAGTAAATTAATTTAACTAACAGCAAGAAAGAGATTGCTGAGGTTTAAGTTTTGACGTTGGAAATAAGGCACCAATTTTTCCTAGTTAGACCATTAAAAAAAGCCTCTTGTATACGTTGGCCTTAGTACAGCAACATCAACGTGTAAAACACTCTTCATTAGTCCTGATGGCTGATAGTTATTGATTAACTTCACGTTATCAAGAAAGATACATCAAGATTCCAGACATGATATAAACTTATTAGTCTTAATATCATAATGAAAAGTTGATGTAGGCAATTAATTAAACGTCATCAAAGCGTGGATTGAAATCAAATCAAAGGAGTTGGTAGTTTTACATGACTCTGAGATCCTCTAATATATTTCCCGAGTCATTCTCTCATGCTTGATCACCAGGGACTATTTACAGTCGACGTTGAAGATGACCTGTAAAGAAGCTATCTAAGCCGCAATTTGGTCATGATAGTGGTGGAAGGTGGTTCTGTAAACGTGTTCCTCGCCAGTGATTTTGTCAACTTTCACCACCCAATTGCCTTTCTTTCCAGCCCCACGAAACTTTTCAGCCGGTGATGATGAAGATGATGGTAATCTAGTCACCAATAAACCACCTCCAATAGGTAGCAGATGAGCTTTGAAACTATCTATCCATGGTTCACAATGAATGGCGTTGTAACCTACAAGACATGCTTTCTTCTGATGCAAACACTTTTGTGCTGCTAGTAAAATTGATTCGTGCTCATCCATTTTGCAATCAACGAGCACAAAATCGGCATCTTGATATTCATTTAGCAACAAAGACCGTGCATCATCCCCTACAACAAGCTCAATAAATTCAGCATAACATCCTAGAGCTTTTCTTGAAGCATGCAACTCATCGAGCCCTGGTAAAATACAAACTGCGCAGCCGCCGGTTTCGCGTGCTGCAGCACCTAAAGCTAGTGCTGTGGATCCGGCACTGCCTGCACAAACCATAACCATGAGTTGTGAATTGTTGCCTGCAGCAAGGGCTGCAATGTACTCTGAAACATTAGGCTCCTTCCCCCTTTTGCCCTGAAATGTTAAGGAGCAACTAGTAAGCATACAAAGACAATGAAGTTATAAGTCATCACAAATTCAAAGCTTCAAATGGCTTACCATCTTAAGGGTTTGGAGATAAGCTTTTGTTGCATGTTCAGCAGACCAAGAAGCCATATTGCTTTGTCTAGAGCTCTACTTAGTTTAGTAATGTTTTGTTACGAATTGAGGTGCTTCTTGGATCATATATATATATATATATGAAGGAAGATGAAGGAGACAGGGATGAAACTCTACACTTGCTACAATAAGCAGTGAAGAGTAATTAATTATTTTTGCATGGGGAAGCAAGCATCTAAGGAAGGTTTTACTTAGAAAGATTCTGGAATGCCAACTGGCAGTTGCTTTTAATGAGATTTAAAAACTCAATGCAAGATTAGATCCCGGGCTAAGTTGAATTATTTTATTTGTTTGTTTAATATTCCCTAGTAAAATATAGTATGAAGTTTTTTCATTTTAGGATAACGATAGGTAAAGATGGATTTAGAATAATTGGACATGCAAGTGGTTTCGTGGTTGATGGCTGGAAAAGTCAGTGGAGTAGGTTAGTGTTTGTGTTTGTGGCGTTCATCAGGGAGACTAGTTACGGAGTTCATCAGCCAAAAAAAAAAAAGTTCATCAGCAAATTAGCAAATATACGTCTATTAACAAAAGCTTACCAAAAAAATTGATGCATCCAGCATCCAGCATCCACACACACATATACATATATAGATATATATATATATATACCTGAACTAGCACTACTGAGTAATAACATTCAATAACCAATAAGTTAGTTTGAAGTATCTGTGGGACAATCAGAAAGGAACGTCCCAGCAAGTTAATGCAATGCCAGAAAAGTGAAACACATAATTAAAGGGGAGAAGACAAGCTCCCTAGCTAGTCATGATTCGTTCATTTGTTGGAATAAAATAATTTTGGAATGCCCTCAAAATCAAAACGATGAAAGTCACGGTTAATTGGAAAAAAAAAAAAAAAATTTGTGCACCAACAGGTATCTATCTTCAAAACTTAATAGTATCTTCTAATCACGTTTAGATTTTGTATCAAACATTTATTCTACCTCTTCACCCTTTTTTTTTTTTTTTTTTTGGGTATAGGTTTGTTTGGAATTGGGAAGGCATTTACAAAAATCATGCCGTCCGAGCCAAGAAGAAAAACTTCACAAGTTTTCTTTTACGTTCCATTTACATGTATAATACTATAGTTCCACTTAATTAATGATTTGCTAGGTCGCAACACTTGCTTATCCCAAGCATTGTTGTGGTACGCACCTCTCTGCTATTTGTCACCTTATCTTCGTATTTGGGAGTGGAAAAAAAAAAAAAAAAAACTTTCTTTAGTTCTTTCCATGAGACATGTACAAGAACATCTAAGCATGGAAAACTAGTTTCAAGAAACAAATATGTACACATATAGAAGGCGCATAATTAACTATCTGAGAGAGAGAGCAGAGATTTCCTGTGAGAGAAATATTCTATTCTTTTTTCAACTAATACCTTTAACATTTTTTTTTTAAATATCCTACCCAATATAGGGGATTGGTTTTCAAGCATTCGAGATTTCATTCAAAAAAGGGTTTTTTTTCCCTTTCCTTAAAAAAAAAAAAAAGAAAGAAAAAGAAGAAGAAGATTGCTGCTTTGTTATTTTCGGATTAGAAAAATTCACTAATGGTTTCGTGCAGTCTTAAACTGTTCTGAAGCATGTACAAAACTGTTGGCTGTCTAAACTTAGTTTCCGGAAAGAGCAATCTTAACATTTATTACACACAAAAAATTCTGATCTCGATGCATCTCCCAAAAAAATATTCACATATTAGCTGTACTGTTCTGAATTCAGCAAACCGTAGCGTTTATACTACCATCAAAATAGAAAGATAGTGAATGAACTTTCGGCACCGTTTCCCCTTCGACAAGTTATGCAATGTTCATGTTCATTCCGGCAGAAGCCAACATGCTTGGATCCTGGTTTAGTTTATGTGGTTGTTTACTAGTTGAAGAATCTTTGACATTTTAGTCATGCTATCATTTCTTTACCTCCAATCAAAAAAAAAAAAAAGGAAACATTTGATTTGGCGTTATTCATACAACATTATAGTATTTTGATCCAATTAAGGAGTTTAAAGGAATAAATTTAGTACAAACAGTAGCAGTTCAGGAAGGAAGACAATAAGAGTTCATAATAAAGGGGAGGAACGTGCAGACGTGCAAATGCACTGTCATTTTGCTTGTGTCCACTCTTCTGCGATTCAAAACTACATTTTGTGCATTTTTTTTTTCTAGCTTATTCTCTTCACGAATAAAGCCCGTGAACTATCAAGAATCTGGTGATGGTTCAAAATAAGATGATTTTGGAATAAATCAAATAATACTCGAAACAATGCCATGTCTTAAGAGCGGCACCCATAAGTACAGTACACTTTCAGTTCTGCAGAAGCTATTCTAATCAATCTAAATACTGGAGGAAGATGTAAAGATGCTTCCTCTTCGCCCAAACTCCAACAACCAGCACGAAAACTTAAGGTCCATCACGTTGCCTCCTTTGTTTTACCCGAACAAACCAACCGACCCCGGCACCTTGTCTCCCCAAACCACAAACAACAAATGGAGTTGATTCCTCTGTTTTGCTGTCTCCTGTTCAATCTCCGATTTTGTTATACGTCCAATACTCCAAGTTGCTTCTTCTACATTTCATCATTCCCTATATTCGTCGTTCCTTACTTTTGGTACTCTTGCTGCTTCCCTCTTCCAAGTAGTTTTTCCGTTAACTGGAATTTCTCGTTTCGCCACTATATTATAGGATGCGTCTGTCGAGCACCTTGAATGTCAACTGAAGCCATGGTACAGAGGGGTACATAGTCACATTCAAGAAATGAGCATAGGAAAAAGCTAAATCAACATATATTAGACGAGCACATCAATAAAGAAATTCCAAGTTCTTAGTCATCAGCCTGAAAAGCATTTGAATGATGTTTGCCACACTACGTGTAAATTCTGCTTTTAATACACACATGTGCGACTCAGAAGCATTTACGTGCAAACTATGCTGAAGATAAGGAACTTGAGAAAAATCCAGGAGGTCACCAGGAAATATTACTCAACATTTTCTTGGGACAATAGATACAATGAGGCAACGTGAAGACTATCCTATTCTAAGTTCCCTGCCGAACTGTATCTGTATGCAGTGACTCACCAATTAACGTCACTATGATCCATATAATCTGCTTCCTTCACTTCTGGAAGAAGTACCTTTCCAGCAGAACACATGCCACAAGGGCAACAAAGAAGCGTGAATTGACCATCCAGACCATCAAGGAATCAAGGCATCAACTACCTGTCCAACAGAACCCACCACAAGGGCACCAAAGAAGCACTAATTAATTATCCAGACTAACAAGACACAGTATAGACATTAAGAAAAGCAAAATAAAACAAATACATAGACGGTAAGTTCCATAATTGAACCTTCATTTCAGTGGTGGAAGGATGAGGTTTTCCAATTTAGTACAGCAAGGCGCTAATAAAGGTATGGAGAAAACAGTACTGAGCTTATTCCAAGAAAACCCACATTTTGGTCCCCTTGAATTCTGAAAATGCTAATTTTACTGTCTCCAATCAGGAACTTCCATGCTTCACTTCAAAAACTTTTATCTAAAAATGTCAATATTCGTTCTACTAGATACACTCTGTCGCTGTACAATCCTTCTTGTGCATGAAATTTCTCCACTCACAACTATCAATGTCACTATTCATTTTTGATTGTCTAGCAATGCCTTGTAGAGCAATGTATACATCACCAACTACAGAAGGTAATGAAGTTTCAGCAAGAAATTCATGAACAACACCATTTACTTCAACCCAACTACACCCAGGTTTTTTCTTTATTTTCTGATCCTTCATCATCCTCTCCATCCTTGAAGCAGCTTGCCACATTTTTTTAGAGCGATACAAGTTCCAAAGGAGCACACATACACCATCATCATCAGGCTCCAGTTCAAGTACCTCTTTCGCTGCCATTTCAGCCAAAGCCGAATTATTATGTCCTAAACAAGAACTGAGAAATGATCTCCACATAATAGCATCTGGCTTGAAGGGCATGTCCTGAATCAATCCAACAGCTTCTTCAAGCAATCCTGCTCGACCAAGAAGATCTACCATACACCCATAATGTTCCATCATGGGTTCAAATCTAGGAGAATTTTTCAATCTTTCAAAGAAGTTCAGTCCCTCACCAACCAATCCTGCATGGTTACAAGCTGAAAGTACAGAAAGAAACGTAATCTCATTGGGGTGCATCCCAGATGCCACCATCTCATCGAAAAAATCAAGTGCATCCTTACCTCTACCATGAATTGCCAACCCTGAAATTATACTTGTCCACGAAAACAAATCCCTATCTACCATCCTAATGAATATATTCTCAGCTGAATCAAGGTTTCCATTTTTTGCGTACATATCAATTAATCCATTATTTACAGCAACATCCATGCTAAAACCAGCTATCTTGTTAACATACCCATGAATAGACCTCCCAAAATCAAGAGCTCCAACATCAGCACAACCTGAGAGCACGGCAACAATAGTAATAGTAGTAGCATTCTCTCTACCTCCATCCCTCATTCTCCTAAACAACTGCAACGCCTCAATGGAATTTTTCACACGTACATAGCCAACTATCATCGCCGTCCAAGAAACCACATTCCTCTGCGGCATATCATCAAAAACCTGACGTCCAGCTTCAATATCACCACAAAAAATAAACCCATTAAGCAAGCTAGTCCAAGTAGCCACGTCTCTGCATTGCACACTCTCAAACACACGTCCAGCCAAATGGGTTCTTCCACCCCGACTATACATATCAATCAGAGCATTACTCACAATTGTTTCCGGTTCAGACAATTGTCTATACACCATGGCATGCACTGCTTTACCAGCATCCAAATTTTGCGTCCGCGCGCAAGCAGACAGCGCAGCCAAGACGGAGTGCGCATCAGGTCTGAGGGAAGTAGAGACCAACAAGTGAGAGAAAAGAGATAAAGCCTCGGTGGGTTGTTGAGTTTTCAGGTATAGATTGAATAGAGAAGTCCAGGAGACAATGTCTGGGTCAGGAATTAGAGCAAACACCCTGTGGGCTTCGAGGGGTTTGTTTAGTTTTGTATAAACGTTAAGTAATTTGCAGGCGAAGTGTTGATGTTTCCGAGTTTGAGCGAAGAAGCCAAGGGTGGTCCAGTGAGCGTGGATTTGCTTGATCAAATTCTCGTGGCCTTCGCATTTGTCTAGTAAATTTTTAAGGCCTGTTATCAGCAGTTTTCTGTTGCCACGAGTCATCTATAGATTTCAAGGACACTGGAAGATGAAGCCGAGCTACAAGTGAAATAATATAGACAGCTTTTCCCCGCAGACTTAGTTCTGCTGCGTAATGATCTTCCAGTGTTACTCTACCATACGTTGTTTCCAAACCAGTAAACAGAGCCCTGTTGTTGTATAATTACTGAAGACAAACATCCAGTATCCAACCAAATATCCAGGGCATAAACTCGATAAAAAATCAATTGCGGCTTCGAACTTTTATACCATTTCTGCGGCCAAGAAGCATCCATATTTTGCTGGTAGGTTAGGCGTGACCCAATGCCAATAATGCATGCATTCGAGCATTCGAGATGCAAATTCTAAGGACAGAGGAGGAGTGAATGACGCGACCCGATTATCCATTTAAAAATAATTACACATTCAAATTCAGTTTTATTTTTCGTGAGTATTAGGAGGATAAATTTAAATTTCATACTAATTTAATCACAATAAAATGTCCTTATTTCTTGTCTCACAACATATGAAAAATTTAAAAAGCAAAAATAAAATTTCAAATAATTAATTAATTAAATATACCATACCCATTATTCACAAATGGATATAAATGAATTGATTCATTTATTTATAAATGAGTTAACTCAATTATACCCACTATCTAATTATTTTTTTCCCCAAAAACGGTAATATATTCATTATTCAATTATGATCTGCCAAAATCCACCCGAATCACCCGTTTTAACACCTATAACTTATCCCAAGTACTTTTGCGGCATAGAATTGCTGTTTATCTTCCTAATAGGGAATTGGGACAAAAATACTTGACATATATAAGAAGATTTAAGCCTGGACAAGTAATTTTCAAACATCAGATATGTACACACACAGAAGCATAAACAAACAACTGTTCAAAGAAAAAAAAAAGAACAGAAAAGGGGCAGGTACTCCGTTTCTAATTAAGGTAACGACATTTGAACAAGTTTTAACTCGCTGCTAATTGTACAATCTCAGAACAACAATAACCAATTTTGTTAAATTCGGATCGGGTAGCCACTCGGCTAAACTGCTGGATCAGCGTCAACTGATCAGATCGGTCGGACCATTCTAAAAAACTCGCTGATATTAGCATGATGTCATAATTATTTTATATTTTATAAGTTTCAGAAATATTGAAATTAAGTTTTTGGTTATATTCAGCCAATCATACAAAATGTTACAAAAATATTAGACTTGTAATCAAATATACACTTAATAATTATATATAAAAATGTAAATTCATGACTAAAATATGTCCATTTTTCAAAATTACTTGAAAAACTAAATTAAAATAATTTAATGCAAGTTAGAATCACTAATGCTAGATTGATAAGATAATAGGGATGAAACATCTTGATTTAGGTGGTGTTTGGTTCATTCCTTGGAATCAAATTCAGATTTTGAATCATTCATCCTGGATTTAGAATGGAGTCAGTCATTCCAATACATCTGTTTGGTTTAGTAACAAAAATGTATATCATTACTGTAATTGATGTTTGGTTCATTGACTCTTTCAAAATGGGATATAAGAAATTTCTGCTAATTAATTGTATTAGTATAAATATATTAGTAAATTTAGTATAACTAATTAACAATTTTTGTTAGTAAACATGTATAATTAATAATATAATTGATAATATCAATTATATTATATATACTTATATACATTATGTAATACATATAACTAATAATATCATTATTATAAATTTATAACTAATTAAATTAAATATTATATAATTAAATATAATTATACTAATATTATAACATAAATATATATAATTATAATTATATAATATATAAATAATAATTATGCTATATATTATATAATTAAAATACATATTAGATATTAAATATAATTATAAAATATTATTAAATACACATATACTATAATTATAATAATAATAATTATTATATATTATTATATACACATATATATTATAATTATATACACATATAATATATATTTATAAATAGTATAAATATATTATTATATATATTATAAATATATATTTATAATATTATAATATATTTATAGATATATATTAGTATAATATATATTATATAATTATAATTATATTGAGTATACATATGTGTATATAATAATTATAAATCTATTATATAATTATACTAATATTATAATAATATTTATTTTTATAATTAAATATTATAATTATAATATATAGTATATATAATCATATATGTATGTAGTTATTTATTAATTTTTTTTAATGGGTGGCGGAGAGGGACCATTTCTAGATAAGGAAAAAAATTGCCCTTGCCCATTAGCCCCCGCGAGACGGGTGCCCCAATTGTCATCCTTAGTTTTCAATACATTAGATAGGAATCAAACTTGGATTTTATCCAAAACCCTTTGGATTACTAGGGAATTGGGAAACTCTAAATTTTTAGATATGATTTTAAAATTCCAATTCCGATAATAATAATCCAAACAGCAATTATGAAATTTATTCTAATTCTCCATTCCGAAACCCTTTTACCAAACACCACCTTAGAAATTATTCAGGAAAGTGAGTAATTTTGATATTTACACTAAGTGGATGACATTTCCATAGTCATATTAGTAAATGAAAGTGTTACAATTTAAGTAACTCAAATTATGTTTAGGAGAAACAAGAAAGAAAAGTTTGAAAACCAAATCAACCAATCGAATCGGATCACTGATTTAGGCACTTTTTGATGATTTTCACTAATTTTTGACAACCAACTCGAAAAGAAAGTTGATTCACGGTTGAACCGGTCGTTTCGGTCCGGATCTAACAACACTGGCAATAACAGCACTTTAGCAATGTAATATTTATTTATGGTTCACATGAGCCCCATACATGATAATTATTTCTTTATTACGAAATTACACAAATAGCTTAACATGAGTTACAACCTCTTCACAAGATATTACACCATTCTGCCCCTTTCCCCGAAAAGGACGAGCCTAAATTCATCCCAACCAACCAGACAAAAACCATGTTTGTACTAGTTATTTGACGACATCCAGAAGTTCACAATGTGGAAGACACTGAAAACAAGCATTAAGGTGCCAAATTCAAGCCAGAGCACACATTAAGCATTGATTAATATAAAGTACTAAACTAATGTTCCCAGAACATTACGCCCTACTCTACATTCACTCGCACAACCTTTTTCCTCCTCCCTTCTCCATCTGGTTCTGCTGCTCCAGCGTCTCCAAAGTACTCTATAGATGGAGGAGCCCAACCACCCCAGCCGCTCCATGTTGGAAATCCATCCCATCCAATCAAGTTAGCTCCTGCATTCATTAAACAGGAAATTTCAGCCTATTCATGCAATGAACAGTACCAATCACACTGAACATCTTTGGATCAATGAACCTCCCAAAATTTGATTGCCTCAAAGCATGGAATGAGTCACAGTCATCGGCCAAATAAATGGACATCTTTGGAACATACAAGTGCTTGAGGGAAAAAAAAAATCAAGTGCAACATAAAAGTATGAACTAAGACAAACACTCTAGAAGTAAACTCAATTGACAGAGGAGTGAATGAAATGATACAGAAATCTCATAAACTTAGTAATCAAAGATAAAAACCAAATGAACAATGGAACGGATGAGAAAATCATGAAAGCAAGAAATGAAATTTACAATTAAGCACTTCCAGATTTCCATGTGCATAATTGAATATCTAGAAATTACCAAAGTTTATGAGATCATCTGATATCACAAGATATGACAATGACCAGCTTTAACCAAGATGATTGCATTGTGATATGTTAAAGCTACAACAAACAGAACAAACTCAAGTAGACAAGCAATAACTTACCTGAATTCTCAAGCTTATTGAACCCACTGCTCCATCCTGGTAAATGCTTGTCAGCATTATTTTTCCAATTTTCTTCAAAACCTTTAAGCTCACCTGATGAAAGGGGAAAAAAATTAAAAGCAGCAAAATAATTTGAGGGCAATGAAGAAGTTTAAGATAACAAGCCCTTGGAGAGGAAACAAACCTTCATGCAAGTTATGTAAAGTCTGCAATGAATCCGCTCTACCATCTGAACTGTTCTTTTTTGTGACCGAATGACCCTGCACAAGCAGAATTAAATAATGCAGACACATTTAAGACACCTGCCATTCATTGGCATATAACATACACTTAAAAGAGACACATTGCTAAAGATAATGGTACATTGCTAGACATTCAGATACTAGTATTAGAGAAATTTTTGCACATTTAATAAGAAAGAATTTGTTATGGTAAACTTGAACTCTGAAAATAGCCAGGAACCGTTGCTGAACTCTTATTAGGAATTGCCCATTATGATTTAATGGATTCACGTCATCTCATTCTAAGAAGCAGATATAAGACTACAATGACCATACCTTATCATGGATTCCCTTTGAAATTGTGTGTAGTGATTCACCAACTATCTTGTCCTCTTCCTTCATTTCTGCAAGAAACACCTACAACACCACCAAAGACATCATAAGAAGGATGACAATGACCATCAAAAAAGAAAAAAAAAATTAGACATATCCAGTCAAGTATTACTGACCCCATCGCCACCATTCATCCTGCCTTCAGAGCAAGTATAGTACATTCCATCCTGATCACCATATGCAACCCTTCGATAACTAAAAGAACTTCCACTACCTATTAAGTACGGCACACCAATTTCACAAACAAGGAAATGCAGTCAACACTTGAACAACAAAACAGGCGGAATAACTGAGACATGCTAATTAATGTTTTACCATTCGCATGATAATTTGGATTCCTAACGCTCAGTTCTTTGCCAGCATTTGAAATGTTTGCACCATCATCATCATCATCAGGATTTATTTCCTCAATACTAATTTGCTTCCGCGAAGCAGGAGGATAACCAAAGGGGCTAGCGAAAAACGGGTCAGCAAATGGATTCTTCTCACCAAAGAAGCCACCAAATGGCTCAGAGAAAAAGGGGTCATCAAATGGATCTTTTCCTCCGAATAGCTTTGACATTCTTGTCGGCAATTGGACAAAAGCTAGTCACCTGACAAGCTTAAGAAAACAGAGCAAAGCAGAAACTCATAAAAATCTGATCTTTAAACACAAAATAACAATTACTCACCAATGAACATATAACACAAGTATCGCTTGTCAACTTAAATCAATTCTTAATTTGTTAACTGCAAAATAAATTGACGCAAAAGGTTAGATTTTTGTTTGTTGGAAACCACTTGTGTGCAATAAAAGACATCCACTTTTTTTCAAACAAGCCAGAGTAGAGCACTTGATCCCTCAATGCCTGAACTGCACGTCATACTCAGGGAAAGCCAAAGAAATTCAAAATTGCAAATTCTTTTACATTTTGAAAGCTTAAATCCTTTTTGTATTCGTACAAGATAGAAACTCCACCAAAATTAGCAACCAAAAACAACATTTTATATCATCAAAGGGTGTAGTTTTCTAACACTCACAGGATACTGTTCATGGTAAAGAAAACCCATAATTTAATTCTGCAAAAGCAGTTGATTTTCATGAACTAATCACTGGAATTCAAAGGGGGAAAAAAACTAATAATAACCGCTTTGGAGATTAATAAAGAGAACCCAATGGAGAAAATAGTAGTTAAGGACAAAGTACGGCCAGACGAATGCAAAAACATAATAAACAACTCGACTCGGAATGCAGAATAGAAGAAGGAGCGACGGCACCTCTATTCAGAGCGCAGAGGAAGCTACTTCTTCAGGAGTGTGGCTATAGCGAAAAACAGATTGCTTTTAGCATTTTATAGGAACAGAAAACTGGGGATGAAGCTTCTAGAGGAACGTGAAACAAAACCAATAAGGTTATTTACAGTTCGCCCCCTTGATTAAAATTTGTGTACGATTTCATCCCTCGTGCACTTTTTGTCTAGTCAAATTTTACTTTAATTTATACCATTGAACCCATTTTATCTTGGGTTAATGGGGGCATTATTCTATACGATTCAAGCCAACATTCCCCTCAACTATCACATTTTTTTGGCCAAATGAAGGCTTGCACCCGAAGAAATTCTACATTCATGTTTATTGCCTCTAATTTTAATGAAGATGTTATTTAGCACATATTAATTCCTTATACTCTCCATAAGCTATTGTCAACACATGCTACTCCTTGTGTCTGTTCCGTTGTGAGATTGTCGGAAAGAGAAATCTTAATTGTCTAATCCTCATCATCAAATAATTAATCATTAGTAAATCAATGTGGAACCATTTATGGTCAGTTGTTTGACAAGGCCTATCATATCCTTACTTTCTTGACAGCTTCCTATCGAGTAGAAAATGATACCATGTTATAGTATAATTTACTATATGATTTTGGCTGCGGAAGACCCCTACACGGAAGGAATTGTAACAAGTCACTAGACATTTTTTCGAACTTCAAAGAATACTACTAACTCTCCGTTGTATCAATTCCTGATTATTTCTGTGATGTTGTAGCTAGAGAGTTTAGTGGAGATTGATGGCTTCCACTTCGAGTTGGAGTTCCATATGTCGTCGCCTTGATTCTGCCATGAAGAAGCTCCGTGGTTGGAGGTATGGAGCAAGGGGACATGGCCTTGGCCGTCCAACTGCCTTAAACCCCGACCATATCATTGATCAACTTGAAACTCGGAGGCTGCTGGCAACCTTTCTTATTCACCTTCGACGGTGCAGTGATGCAGACAACGTTGTCAGTAACATCGGATTTCTCGTCAGCATAACTGAAGCTGTATCAGATAACTTGGCCAACGACCTTGGCGGTGTTCTTGTTTCTGATCAAACATTGAACGGTTGTCTAGGAGTGGTTGATGTACTCCGCAAATGGGAGAGAACAATTGGGCTTTTCAGGGAACCAGTCGGACAAGTTCTTGATGATCTCTCGGGCAGCTGCACCTTGGGATTGCTGTCTCCTGCTCTTCATTCTTATTCTATTTGGATATACTTCTTGCGATTTATTCCAAGGATTCTGTCCCATACCTCAGGCTCAGGCGCGGACGCCAGTTGATTACCAAATCAAACAAATCCATGCCCTCAGAAACAGAGTTGAAAAATTATTCGTTCAGGTAAAGGATTTCCAATTTGGCTTCCATATCAGTGATGGTGTTGTTCAGGAAGATATTCAGAACTTCTTCACTCACGTTGGAATTACGGCCCTAAGGATAGCAATTCAGGCTTTAATTTATTTGGTTAGAATGGGATCAATAACTGCAGTAAGTAATAATCTTATGGATCTGAAACGTGATATTGATCCCACTACTCCAGCGTTCTTAGACTTGAATCTCGCATTCTTGAGAGCTGTCAAAAATTCCATGCCTGACCGTGCAATGTACTCGACCATGTTCTTTATCCATTATCTCCTAGGTGACAGCAAGTTATATGGTCTCAAGTCCCTGGTAAACTTTGTTGTTCAGATTAGACAAAAGCATACATATCACATATTTCTTCACATTTTGCTAGTGCTCAGTAAGAAGTACACAATTCTTAAGTATAATCACAGTTATTCTGATTTGAAGCAAGCAAATAATAAGAGGTCCCACTATTTATGTGGCTGTGAAACCATGGAATTATGGGCCATTTGCATTCGCAATTGCAAAATAGTCTTAATATGCAGTAATTTTTGTCATTTGCCTGGTTGGAAAAGTAAAATAACTTTGAGTAGTGCAGACTATGTCTATTCTTTCTACTTTCATTGTTCTTGCAAATGCAGGAACTGCTATCAACTCGGTTATTAAAATGTGACGATAAGCCAAAATCTCCTGTCCACATTTTAAACCATTTCCCGGAAAAGAAGTATTCGTTGCAGAGGACGTTTTGGGACTTTTCATCACATTCTTAGATACATTGCCTAACAAGTTTTGCATTTCGAACACAATGAGCAAATGCAGTAACAAGCGTGTCCGGAAAATTTAACATGATCAAAGTAAAAGAGATTTACCACAACATAAAACCAACATGTGGGCTACTTCTGAAAATCTCCTATATATTTGATTGGAATTATTGTCGGACAAATATAAACGACTAATTTGCATGTGAAGAATAATGTACAAATACTGCTGCTATCCAGGAAAGCTTACAAAAAAGTGAATGTGCTTAAAAACCTGGAGCGGTATTAGATATGAAAGAAGATATTATATAAACCAGACCAGCATGAGCAAAGGTGTCCCAAATGCTACGAGTCCTTCCATCTTCAAATACAGCACCCTCAACCTGAGATCATTAGTATAATCACAATTACAAATCACAATGCAAGCAGCCTAATCAACCCAAAATCAAAAGAGACTATGAAAGTCAATTGGCCTGGCCGCTGTTGAGGAGAGTTTTCAGCATAGGCAGCCAAGAATATTGGCAGTAACAAGAATATGACACAGATTTCGACATTGGCTTTCAGATGAAGTAACATAAACGTCGTACCAATGTGGCGAAGCGAAGGGCAGACCTGATAGGCAGAAGAGCCGGCACCGAAAAAAAAGTCAGCTGGGAAGTCGGCCCGAGTAAAATTCTCAACAGCCCAGAAAATGTGACCCCAGAAAAACCAGAGCAAGAATTATAGTACCAGAAGAAGAGCAGAAGCGCAGCGGACGCAGCTGCAGCAGCATCATTAGTTATCCGGTTGCAGCAGTACTACTGCTGCCTCCGCTTTCTTCTTCAAACTTCGATCCGTTGGTTCTTTTATCGTATTATACTATAAATGTGTGGCCGAATGGTTTCGGATAAAGTGAGTATACGAAGCATTGATCTTCTACATATCGACACTATCACTCGCTATCACCGTTGAAGGATTAATTTGACTCAATGAACCGTTAGTGTCGGATGATGCCAAGAGTTAAAAAAGGACTTCATTTATGTGTTGAGTGGCAAATTTTATGAAACTCCATGCCATTTTATTGATTCGGAGAGAACAATTTGTTTCTTGGATTCGGACCGTAATTGATCCTCAAAAATATAATACTATGTGTTACCCTTCTTTATTATTATTATTATTAATGGGCTTGACTATGGAGTGCCTAGTGGAACTCCTTAACAAGAAATATCTTGTGTTAATTTTTTCATTTGAAAAAATATATAAATACAAGAATATAAAAATATGATATATATATATATATATATATATATATATATATATATATATATATATATATATATATGTGTGCGTACATAATAAATTAAATATGATTTAAGTGTGCTAACATATCCAGTAGGTATCAATATGTAAATAAACGCCTTGCTTGGATCATAAAGAAAAAGCTCAATTTAATCACCATTCTTATCGCACAAATGGTAATTGAAACTTGAAGAGAAATTCTTTCCTACACGAATTATTTTGAAACAATAAAATGTGAGAAGTATTTTTATTGGTCTAGTTAAATCATGTAGTAAAATAAGAAAGGATATAGACAGTAATAAATTTGTATTAGAAAATAAACAATAAGTTTTTGGGAAAAAAAAAAAGGGGTTTACTTTCAACATGGTATTTATATAAAGACATTGATTAATTTAAAGGTTATTTATGTATTATTTTTTTCAGTTCAACAAACCAAACTGAAAATACTTCACCCCCTTTCAAGGAATGCATTTAACGTACGTGAAAATTCAATGCATGAAGTTAGCTAAATATGAAGTGTCAGCCCACAACCCATGATGAAGGGGGGGCACTGCGATGGTGCAACACCTCATTAACACATACTTCTGGTAAATTATTTTTTCAATTTTTATGATGGAGATGTAGTAATATATATAATTTTCTTTTGTTTGTATGCAGATGTAATATTGAATACGAGTTCATATGCAAAGTTACATAGCGTTATCAAGGCAACACCCTTTTTCTTAATTTTATTTTTTTAAGAAGTTTTGAATTTCTTACTTACAATTCAATCCGAACACGTTTTCTATCCTGTTAATTTTAAAATATGAACAGTATGACCTTTTTCCAAGAATGAGTGGTTTTTTTTTTTTTTTTGGATACAAAGAAGGGGCTAAAAGCTATCTAAGGGCTACTGGTGAAAACAGTTAATCGAGACGAATCGAGCTTGAACACCTGCTGATCAAGCTCGACTCAAACATCTATCGAGTGAGCGCTCGACTCAAACATTTATCAAGCTAAATCTAACTCGCTCGATTAGTAATTCGAATTTCAAAAGCCGTTCGAAATCGACTAGTCAAACTCGACTACAAGCTCGAACTCGAGTTTGAAAATCGAGCCAAGTTTAACGAGTTTAGCGAGCTATTGAAAAGGGAAGAGGAAAGAAAAATTAGGACAGCAATGAAGTGACACTAATGCCCTTGTATTTGGAGCCTATCGAATAATTCTCGAACCTAGATCGACTCCCCACGATTCATAAACGAGTACATATAAAACTTAAACTCGACTTGTTTACTGAGAAATAAAAGCCAAGTCGAGCGCTTAACGAGCCAAATCGAGCTCGACTCGTGAATTAGCATGTTCGATTAACAGCTCTTAAGTGATGGTGCATCCATTGGACCCTGGAGTGCTCGGTGTTGAACTGCTGCTTTGGCTAGCCAGTCTGAGCATCTACTTCCCTCTCTCCAGATGTGCTGCAGACTGCTTGACCATTATGTGCTTCTCGCTTCTCTGATTTGCTTGATCGTGTTGTCCTGGGAACAGCGTCTTTTATTAGTTCCAATCCTGCTTCAGAGTCCGATTCGAGATTTCTTGAATCCTCTTGTTTGCATTCGCCACCCCTTTCGAATGGATGGCAGTAGTTTTTTTTTTTTTTTCTTCACACTTGAATCTTTTGTTTATAATTTGTACTTTGTAAAAAGAAAAAGGAAAAGAAATAAGAATGGAGCAACAATGGCCACCCGCATCGATCTTTAGGCCCTTTGGGCTCCTTTTTTAGGCATTCTATCAAATTACATGGAAAGAATCGTCAGAATGCAAGTTAGCGTGTTTGCCTTCACTATTCCCAATCGGCAATTACCATAATAGCCAAACCTCTCTCTCGAGTCTTGACTAATACTAATTAGGGTGCAAGTACTAAATAGCCGTACTTGAGGAAACCCTGATATTTCATGCCACAGTATGATAAAATTGACAGTTCAGTGAAACAAGCATCGACAATACATTGCCTATTTACATAGACCACAGGACCAAAAAAAAAACCAATTTCCCACTTGATCTGCTACTATAGCTCAAAGCAAACTAGATTATTCAAGCAATCAGTTGGGCATCAGAACCCCACTCTTCAAAGCAAATAACTTACGGGCTGTAATTCAGAAAACGATGCATGGGTTGGCTCAGCTTTTATAACTCTTACAGGCCAATAGAGAAGGCACGATCCCATTGGCACCACGTCTTTCCGTCCAAGTACTCAAAATTCTCAAATCCAATTATCAACACATCTACTCTATTGGAATTGTAACTGTCTTTTTAGGTCTTCCTCTAGCTGAATCATTCTGAGCACCAGGTCTCAAACTAGCATCTCTACCGAGCTGCTGCCAAGTTGGTTGACCCCAGCCACTCCAGGAGGTAAGCCGGCTGCCACCAATACCTGCATGATTCGAGCATGCACAGCAGGAAAAAAACAATCATCACACGGTGTTACAAATCTTTCACCCAGACATAGTGATGCATCTATAGTTTTCTCCTTTTTAACTGATTATATGCAGCAAAGAGACATGGGAATAGTCATTGCCCTGAACAGGTCAAATAATGTGCACCACTCACCAGGCTTTGTATGAAAGTCCAATGGCATATCCCATCCTGGTAAATGCATATCAGCACTACCTCTCCAACTTTGATCGAAACCCGCTAATTCATCTGAGAGAGATTGGAAGCGTACAGATCCTCAACCAACAAGCATGATGAAGTATAGACATGAAGAGCAAACATATATAGGAAAACAAACCTTCATCTAAATTATGCAAAGTTTGCATTGTGTCCACCTTACCATCCGCATTAAGCTGCCTTGTCACTGAGTGACCCTAAAAAAGTGTGACAAAACACTTCAATTTCCATACTAAGTCACAGATTGAAATTTGTACAGTTTATAAGAAATATGAACTATGAAATCAACCTAGAAGCAGAGAACTATTAACCTGCCATTTTCATATTTGTAAGCATCATATACGTATCTACTAGTCGAGAACAACAGGAGGCATCTGACTAACTTAAAAGTAATGAAATCGCAAAAACAAAAGCAGGTCAAAATAGTAAAAACAACACTTAAAGACTCATCCTGTACCATGAAAGAAGCTATAGTGCTATTCAATTACTTTTCCTTAGAGTCATAAGCAAGCCACTTGATGTAGCCACTAAGCATCAACAAATATAAAAAATGCTCAAAAGATATGATCTGTATGTGACATGGATTGTCGTCATAGTCTTCATGATCAAAATTCCAGAACTATTGCTTCTTTATTACCTATAACCCTATTATTTAAGTGGCTCTCTGACAAGTAATACAATAAGTAATCCACGAGACCAAATACTTATCTTCCTTCAAGAACTGCAAGACTATCAGTTGGAACATCAAAATAACATTACCTTGTCAATGATCCCTTTAGAGATACGATGGGTTGCTTGACCAGTAGTACTATCAGCTTCTTTTCTGTCTTCCAACACCACCTGATTGCCAAATGAACCCTTAATATGAGATCTTCTACGGAACCCATAACAAATCTCGACTGCCAAAATTCTGATGAAGAAAAAGTGTAGAAATGAGAAGGCAGAGGGCAGTTTACTTACTCCATCATTTCCTGTTCTTCGGGTTGCTGAAGCAGTGTAGTAAGCCCCATTTATGCCACCATAAGTGACTTTCTGGAAGCTGACACTTCCTTTTTGGGGTCGCTCTCCTCCCACCTTATTATGATCAGACCTATAGACTAGTTCTTTACTCTTGCTCTTAGTTTTGCTCTTATGATGATCTGCAAGACCTCCACAGTAAGCACAGTAATCATAGCAACAAATCGAAATGATTACAGACTAATAATATCCGTTAAACTAATTCAGAATCCTTGGGTGAGGGACTTTAACTTTACCATCAATTTGGTCCTCAGGGTGCTCAACAAATGGATTTTGATTAGCGGATGCAGTCTCTGGATCCTCCCCTCCTCCAGATATATTATCATCCTCAATATCTAGCTCCTCAATAATCGGTGCCTTCAACCTGTTGCTGTGCACTGGATCACCAGGAGAAGCAGCCGAAAAAGACATTTTGGACCCAAATAAGCCACCAAAAGGGCGAGTAAAGAAGGGGTCATCAAAAGGGTCTCTCCCTCCAAATATACCCGACATTACGCTCCTGAACGATCGAAAAACGAAAAAAAAAGATCAATTAAGCTCCCCAAAATGAAGAAATCATCAGAACTTCTGATTTCCACACCTCAGTTTCTTCCAACTAAATGGACAGAAATTATGACTTGAGACATACATACAGTTATTATCCAAGGAACTGCAAGATATTGAAGATGACCGTGTACATATAAATCGAGAGACATGAATAACAGTTCACAAATAACACGATACCATGCATTCACGAATAAACCGGAAAGAGAGAGAGAGAAGAAGAAGAAGAAGAACTGAACCAATAGCTATTAAAAGAAAGTTCAATCACACGATCATTGCCATAACTATGTCCAAAACGAAGCAGAAAGCTTATAAAAATAAATGAAGAAGAAGAAGAGCTAAAATTAAATAAAAATAAGCAAAGAGAATTTCATTCACCTTCAGGCGATTTGTATACAATTGAGATGAATCGAAAGAGAGAGAGGGAGGGAGGAGACTAGAATTCAGAACCTCGTTCCAACTAAGGCATATACATATAGTGGTGCGAGCTCGGCTATCGGGACCAAACAGGAGATGACACGTGTTTTGCTTTTGATTCCCGATCGTTCTCCTTGTTTCTCTTGAAATTTTTTTTGGGTCACTCAACTGGTTTGAGAATTTTGCCACTTAAGTACTCTACTGGAGTATTTAAGTGGAGTATTTGCGTTTTTCAGCCTCCAAAATAAAAGTGAAAAATTAAGAATGTTTTCTTCTGGTCTGTCGAACGTTCCTTCAATGCATGGAATTTCTCAATCCTCTCACACTCCCAATTTGGATTGCAGCTCTTGGGGAAAAGTTTTATCGAGTGTTCTTCGGAAAACTTTTTAATATATATTTTTTTATTTCACATGTATGGCATCTAAAAATAACAAATTTAGTGTATTTGGATTGATGAATTATCTCAAATAATATTTTATTTATACCATATACACATTTCTCAATCTACCTTTTTATCTTTCCAATTACTTTTTTATTTCACATACATCACATCACAAAAAAGTGTTACAGTAATTATTTCTAATAACACTCTATCCAAACACACTCAATAATGTTACAGAATTTTTTTTCCTTTATAAAACCGGTCAAAACAATAAACGCATTATAGAAATGCAATCCAAATAGGATAACAATCATTTTTTTAACGTTGTGGGCTGAGTGTTGGGCAAAAATTGTTATCCAAACCTATCAAAACCTGTTTGGATTGCATTTTTATAGAGCGTTTATTGTTTTGACAAGTTTTATAAAGAAAAAAAAAATCTATAATTATGATGCCTAGCTCCAATTTCTTGACAATTACGAGCCATTAATACCGAAAAAGGTTTAAAGAATTGTGAAACAGTTTGTCCTAGAGGCATAAACTTCTTGGGCTACACAGAATTTCATTAATATGCGAAGCTGAAATATAACACGCCATACACATACACTGCTTAGGATTGTTGAAGAAGAAGGGTTCCATTTTCTTTCCATCATCTTCGCTCTCTTTTGGATTGTCATTTTTCAATCATCTTTTCACTTTATATACATTAAATCGCTATGTTACAATATATATATTTTTAATAAAAACTTCATAAAACAGCAATCCAAGATGGATGTGAAAAAACGGGAAAAAATGACTTTTTTTGTCGAGCAGTGCACCATCATCCTGTAAGTAACATTTCATTGAGAACATAAAATTAAAGGGATAATTAGGATTATATTGAAGGCCCTGACATTTGGCGTAATACATGAAAAGAGTACAAATCCGAGAAAACATTTCTCCTCTAATTGATTTCTCACAGGCACCAACACAAGTGATCACAAGGGTTACACCATCATTACGTGTTAGCTACTGAGAATATCTACATCTTTTTGAAACTACAATTAAAGCTTACAAGAACATCAAACATGCCACCATCTCAACGGGATCTTTTCTGTATGTAACAGTACCCAGAGTTCTCAGCTGGATAATCAATACATGTCAGCAAATCAGATCGTCAAGGCATCCTCGCCTGTGCGGTCCAAGGGCTTCCACTCCAACCAGGTTAATCATCCTCGAGTTGTTATTCAGCATGTGCCACCAGGCGGCTGCACCAGTCCCAAATCAATAACCATGCAAATTAAAGGGTGAAAAAATCGTGCTTTTGGTGCTCCACTGTAGCTTCAACTAGGGAAGAAACCCGTTTTCTTACAAAATGTCGAACAAGGTTCAGAATTCTTGGGCATCAAAGTCAGGTTTCAACGGATATTCAAGACCCTGTAGGGCAGGCATCCTTCGTACATCTTCTTCTGAATAAGTTGGGATGAACCAGTACCTTCTGTCCAACCCAAAAACCTAGAATACCCAAAGGCCAATACAGTTAAAAAGGGAGAAACACAGAAACCTGCAAAGGCTTATTCCACTATATAGCAGAAAGAAGAGCCCCCTGGTAGCAATAGCTTGTCTACAACCAAAGATATTTCCGACTATGAAATATTTCAGTTTTTAAAATAAAAAATCAAATACGAACAGTTCAGACCAGCAATGCAACTCGATTTCAAAAACTAGAAAGCCATGTATCACCCTGCAAAAACACGAGTGGGGGACAAAAGTCCAATGTGATTTAGAGGGATAAAATCAACGGTACATCAATAGCTCCATGACATAAGACTTAATCAGAGTTCCAAGCCACTTGTTGCCTGCGTTTCAAAAATTTATATTCCCCAAGCCATTAGGAAGATGACAAGAATATTCTCCAAAAGGCAGAATGCAGGAGAGAAAAAACTCAATTTTTATTGAGTGCGTGGAATGTAGGAAGCCATACACTGACAATTGGCTAATTGGTATTCTAGGGAATTGGCTTTAGACCTTTCCCAAGAAAACATCAAATTTGAGATAACTAAGTTTGATCACTGGGAAGAAAAAGAGGGTTGGTCATTCAGAACTTTGCACCTAACGAGTTCATATTCATCATAATTAACCTAAGAAAGCCCACTTAGCACTTTAATTATGCACACTCAACAAATCTATGCATTCGTAACTGTGTACTGAAAGGACATGTTTGAGTTAAAAACCCAACTGTGGCTCTGATGTGGAAAATGAACATCAGTGTCAACTTGCAGATAAGTACAGACTAGGGAGTGGAACTCAAAAGATAACGGGATACACAAAGACCAACAAGAAGGTCCTTTCTCTGAAGTACTTCAACAGTGATAAGAATATACCTCCCAAGAATTAGGTCCATCTTGCAGCCATAAAATTATAGAAGGTCAAAGTATCATAAACCAATTCATCAAGTAAAAATATGAATAAAATGCAAAAGGATTTGCAAATACTAGAATTGGTTTTTCTTCGTTCAAGACTGCAGTGGGTCCAATTAGCAGCTATCAAAAATTATTAAGACTGGTCAAAATTGGTACACGGGACAATGCGGAAGGAGGTCCTAAATAGCTAATTTTGGAACTTTTTGGCAAGAAAAGAAATATAAGCATTTAGATGGAAACAGATGCCATTGGTGAAAGTTTCAGATACCACAGCAGTAACTAATGACTCTTTGTACAAATATACTGATGCTAAAGCTTTTTGTCTTAACATCTGAAATTGCAATCTTATAGTTTGTCCCATTTTAGATTTAAAATCAAGAAATAAATAAATAAAAGACCATTTCAAAGAATTTTTCTGTTGGAATACAAAAGAAGAGGTATTACTTAAATCTACCAAGTAATTGATACCTGTTCAAGGTTTCTCTTTCGACCCAGATCATACCGCCACTTTGGAGTAGTCTTCTTCTCATATGCCTGAACAAATAAATTAACAATTAGAAGATAATTCATCAGCAACTTTTTCTATACAAGAGCCATGGCATGTATCTATAGGCTAAATGTTGATTCACTTGCTGAGGGATGTAATCAGAAACAGTTCCTCTATCAACACAACACACCACTAGAAAATGACTTCATGAAAAATTCCATTTCACAAATGAGGAGTATTTCACTAATTAATTCCCTCAAAATCTCAAAGATTGGAAAAACTATGTTTTACTGAAAGAACAAAGGAGGGAAAAATAGTAAGTATTCAAGGATTAAGATTCCTTTTATATTTAACAAAAGAAACAAGAACAGTAAAAGACCTCAATTGTCGTGGTATTAGCTGCCACCAGGGATATGTGCATGATCAGAAACCCCAAGACGCTCAGAGCAAATGCAAGGTTCAATACTGTTACGAAGAGAAAGTTAATACAAAAAGGGTACTTCAAAGAATACAGAAGAAAATCTGCCAGAAAAAGGCTCATAACCTTACCAAAGGCAAGGAAGGTGGTAGCAAGATTGCCTGGAGTCCCAGCAATCTCCCCATCACTGAAGAATGCAACAAAATGAGGTAGCAATGCTAGTGTCGCAAGACTGGTCTCAAGAAATGTGTAGAACTGCATCACAAAAAGGATATGAGATTCTTAAGCCATGGACTAATGCTCAATGGCTACATTCACATCAAATAACTTGTGGCAGCCACCAGGAGGCAGGAAAAAAAAAGAAATACATGCATATCAGTTGGGGTTGCATATGAATTGTCAAATATGATTTCAGAGTTTTATACCAAGGCTGAAATGGATTTTCGGGTTATAATACTCAGGTCTCCATAGTTTGGGGATATACATGTCCTTCTAAATCAAGAGAGATGCACCAGTTAAAATTCATTCAAGAAACACTAAGTGCAGTTAGTGTGGTTTAATCCATAAAGAGAGACAATTAACTATCTGACAGTTCCAGGTGACCCTAGCAATTTGTGGTTCAGCAGCTACAGATTGTGCTGGTTGGAATACAGCACCTTCAAATGCAGTTCTAGTGTGTTCTACAGTGCAATTTTTAGCACTGAATTTAGCTAGATGGGGGAACAAGCAGCAACTACGAGTGTGAAGTACTAATCCAAAACAAGATAACAACAAATAGGTACAGTAACTAGGGGACATTTCTGAAATGATCGCCCAGTTTTTTAAAGAAAACAACAAATAAGTACTGATCCAAAATTTTCTGAAGGATCACCCAGTTTATGGTGCAGTAACTAGGGAAAATTTCTGAAATGATCAACATTGGCATCAAACAATATGCATTTGACAAAGAGGGACCAGACTTGTATAAAAAACTAATTTGTCAAATGGGAGATGAAAACTAAAATCCATTAACCCAAATTAATATATCAGGTCCACAATTTTATTCAACCAATTGTGTTCGAGCAATTTAGAAAACCTTTCTGACACTTGGATCTTAACATAAGATGGGTGCCAAGGCGAAGAGTTGCATATGGGCCAGAATTTAGTGGATCACAAAAAAACAAAAGACTTGATCCAGTATAAGCACGCAGGAACTTTATCAAATCAGAAATTTTCAGGTGTAAGAGTAGACACTATAAAAGAATAAGTGTGAGGAAAACAAATGAAATCAGATAGTCAAAGCTCTTTGATTTGCCATCAGACCAAAACAATGAAAAATTGATTTGCCATCAGACCAAAACAATGAAAAATAATCTAATTAAGACTAAGGCAACATCTGATGAGATCAAAATACCTACCAGGAAAAGAAGGAAATACTTGTAGTTTAATGCGCCAACACAATTGACAACCCATACACAATGATGATCCATTTTTAGGACACACCTCCCACCTAACAGATTTAAGTCAATAAAACTCAGCTTCACAAAAATAAACAGAAAACAAAGAAATGACTTTGCTTTGACAGAAGAAAACTCACAAACAGAACAATGATGGCACCGAGGTGGTTTAAACTGGTTGCACTTTCGACAATATCTCACTCTCAGGTTGACAGGGTCGGATGATGCTGTCCCAAATTCTGATTCCGTCAAAGGGTCAGTATCTCCTCTTTCTTCATCCAATTCAGGCCTCCAATTTGGAGGCACACTGCCTGGATCCGTGAAAACAACCGAAAAATAACTCCACAACAGCATCACCAACTGCATGACCATATCATAAGATTTAGCTTCCACTGTCACACAAAATTTAAACCAACCCTACTTACAACCATTAAAAGGAAATTATAAGTTCAGACAGTTTCAAACTTCAACAACCTGAACTGAATTCAAAAAGTAAATCAAATATCTTGACTTTTTGCCAATCTTTCCCTTTCTTCAAATCACAAGTGCTAAGTTACTGAAACAACACATAACAAATTCAATTTTGATTCATTTAATGACAATGTCAGACAAAACTGCGCCATGAACTATCTTAGAGACTAACAAAATGAGCAGGTTAAGAACAAAGGGTAAAGTATTGAAACCTTCTGTTCCTCCAATATGTCCAGCCAAAGCTGCCTAAAACTCAACACCGAATCACTAAAAAGTTTAGGCACTCCAATATATCCACGCTTCATAAAAAAACTTGTTGCTGATAAATAAAATCGGCTAAATTTTCCTCAAGACAGCTTCCTCCAAAGAAATAAACCGAAAGAGAATATATAACCTCTCCAACACATCCCAACAAAAATGCCAATACCCACAAAGCTGCCATGATATTGGCACTCCAATGTTGTCCAAAAAGTGGAGTGCCAAAGACAATAAATTGGTCAATAATGTGCTCTTTCTTCCTTTCTCTATTAGCTCCTTCAACCATGATTAAGTAGACCAAGGCTTAGAGCACAAGAAAACAAAGATAAGTTCTAAAGTTAACATTTTTATCACACATAAAAGAGAAAGATCCCCAAAATGCCGACATAATCAACTAAATTCTCCTCACTTCAGGCTAAACAAAATCTCAATTGGCTAAACTTGCAGAAAAACATCAATAACCAAACATAAAAAATAATAATAATAAATGACATCAACAAAGATAAGAATTATCAAAGTTAACACTTTCATTAAACAATCAGCAAATTCCAAAAGATTACCCAAAAAATGAACTCAGTTCTCCTTAATTCCAGCGGAGCAAATTCTCATTTAACTAAAACGCGCATAAAATTACAAATGCACACATCCAAAACCTAGAAACAAAAGTCAACTATCATGGCTAATCAAAGTCAACATTTTTATTACACGATACATCAAATTTCCCTACACATAACTGCGTAATCAACTCAATTCTCTTTTATTTTCAGCTAATTGTCATTCAGTTAAGACAATATCAAAGCATACCACCGACACCCAGAAATAAAATAACTTGAAAAATCAATAAAGAAGACAAAATCATAAATTAGTGAATTACCAAAGAATGGAACAAGATCAACACGGCAACGGCGATGAGCGAATCTAGGTCACCGTCGACGAGGGCGGGAGCATAATTACAAACAACGACGGCGTAATAGGTGACGCCGACAACTCCTAGGACGACTAAAATCATGATCGAGCCCAGCCCTCTCAAGGCCGCACAAAATTTGAAAACATTCCACGCCATCACTGCTCCAGATCTATACATAATAATCAAAACAATAAAATAACACCAATAATTCTTCTACGACAACAACAACAACAGATTTTTTTCCGGGAAATTAAAATTGTGATTGTATAAATGAGGGTTTACGTGAGGAGGTCGAAGTGAAGGGTGTAAGAAATTGATTCATACGCAAGTCTGAAGAGCAACGATGATGGGTGGAATGCTTGGAACGTAATTTTAGGATTTAGGATTTTATGTTAGGAAGGTTGTACGATATACAGTGCAAGGTTGTAAACTTTTCCAGTGGCTAAATAGGAGTAGTATTATTATTAAGAAAGGTTTTTTGGGGATTATAAAAGTTAATATTTTGGGAAAGTTTTTTGTGTTTTGGTTTTGGTTTTGGTTTTGGGGTATGAACATCCAGAAGGTCTATAAGTAAATGAGACAAACTCCCAAAAGTTGCTTCAAATATTTATTTGAATTGTAGGTGACAATTTTCAAGACAATGTGCCATTTATGTACACTTAATGACGTTGATTGTACTTTTTTTTTTTGCCGTAACGGTACAGGGACTGAACTGCTATCAGACCATACGGATGCATCACACACCCATATGAATTTAGAACAAATCTCATATTGAGGCACATTGATGGCAGACAAGGTTCGAACCATTGACCTTCCATCTCACAATTAATGTGGTGATCAACTCCTTATTTATCAATGAGTACATTATTGTTTATTTTGATACTTAATTTTAAATTGTACTTATCACGATTATGAATGATTTATCTTATTTAGATTACAATGTTTCTCCAAAAAATTGTGTGTTATATTTTTAATAAATACATTTTTCAATCACCTCACATATATCAAATTGTTATAATATATATTTTTCTATAAAAGTTTCAGAAAATAGTAATCCAAACAAGCTTGTAATCAACTAGAAGAAATATAGGATATATATATATTTCAGTAAAATGTAAAATCTACCTCCCTACCACCCCTCTTTTGGAAAAAGTTGCGGCCTTATTCTATTAGTTTAGTTAATGCCAAAAAAAAACCTTTTTTTTTATAAATTAGCTTTAAAATGCTTGTAATTACATTTGTTTCTTTCTCCAACTAACACTAAATAGAATAATGAATTCTCGCAAAGGAAACTAAATCCAAAATAGAAAGGCTGGAATTGATAAATGCACGATTACTACCACCAGAGTCTTTTTGTAGCCGCTCAGGTTAACTTAGAGTGAATATTTCATTTAAAGTTGTGAAACATTTTATTAATGTGCCAAAAAGCGTAACCTAAATAGGTATTTAAATTGTTGACGGGGTCACTGCAGGGGCAATATGGTAACTAAGGTATCCGTTTAGAAAATGGTAACCTGTTGACTTGACTGCATAACTTGGGCTCTGAGAAAATTCAAAACTGACTTTTGTCAAGATGATGAGATCATCAATGACAAATTTTGACGGTGTAATAATGAATAATTGTAGAAACCTCCCTAAAGCATTTGATAATTTCATCGAGCTGCTTTCATTGTTAAATAGAATTACACATACCTCCCCTGTAGTCTGCAGACAATAATAATAGCAACTTGACGAAATAAGTAATTTGTTACTTGACAATACAAGAAAGGGGCCAAAAGAAAGAAAAACAAAGGTATAGATTGTTTTATGTTAAGGGAAAATGCATATTAGTGACTTGAAAACTTGTACAAGGACAAAGGTAATACAGTGGAACAAAAGGGTGATATAGAATATGATGCGAAAATGAGATGAGATTTTTGGTGCATGGGGAAGTTTTGATAATAGAGGCAAGCATTCTAAACTTTCTCAAATTATAAGTAATTTTTTTCTTCTTGGTGTATCTCCTTTATGCGTGTAGCCCTTTCTTATTTATATTACATCTACAAGGTGAAAACCCTAAACTATTTTCTAAGAGGAAATGTGTAAATTTGAAACATGAATAAGCTCAGAATAAACGCATCAATTTCATGTCAATTCAAGAAAGTTCTCCAACTACTACACGAGTTCATCTGACGGTCACAATATTCAAAAAATTCCAACAATGCCAACTTCAAGGAGATAAAAGAGGCACCAATACTTGGTTTTGCATACGTAATGCTTAAGTGAAACTTTTGAGATGAAACATCCTTTTTTTTTTTTTAACGTCTTTGCTGTTCAATTTAGAGGTGCAATGGCTCGTGTCGATTCTGAACAGCACTGTGGTCGAGTTTGATTTCGACTTAATATAGCACTGTTTGAAAATTGAGCTTGACTCAATCAAACTTGAAATTCTACGGATCGAACTCGATTCGCTAACATTTTTGTGATGCTCGATTCTGATTCGTTTGGATTCAAACAAACTCAAGTTCAATCGAGTTCAAACTCGAGCTCGATGTATTGAGTTCGATTAAAAAAAAGGTATTTTGAAAATTTACAAGAACTTAATAGCTATATATGTAATTTACTATACACTAATATATATATATATATATTATAAATATATTTTTTATGTATTATATGTATTGTTTGATAAAGTTCGATGCTCTACTCGTTTGGCTAAACGAGTCACTTGTGATCAACTCGAACTCGATCAACGTCAAGTCAAGTCAAGTCGATCATTTGATTGATCTGCTTATGAGCAGCTCGCAAGTCGCTCAGAAATATATTGGGTCCGTTTGGATTCCTTGTTTTTGCTTCTGTTTTTGAAAAACTGTTTTTTATATTCCAAATGCTACAGTAAATGTGTATTTCCAAAACAACTCAAAAAACAACATATCCAAACATTATATAAAAAACAACTCCATATGTATATTTCAATTATGTATGGCACTTCAGAAATATATCTTTATTGGACTAAAGAAGTGAGACATTAATGGCTACTATGAAATTTTAATCAAAATACATTTTGTCCGTCCTTTCCTTTAAAGAATATTAGATAAATCATCAAGTAACAAAACGGCGTCAACAATAAATTTGTGTTTGCCCAAAGCTGTTCGATTCGTTAACAGAGTTTTCTAACATATATGTCTAATGAGCAATCATTAGATGTCTTAATTGGCCAATTAAATGCATTCAATTCATGTTTATTGCTCTCCTATATTTAGCTACTTTTTAAATTTAATTTCAATTTGACTATGGGGATTGGAAGGGTGGGGGACAGGTGGAAGATTTTTTTTAATTCAATTTAACAAAAAAATAATGAATTTGAAAAAATAATAATAAAACCCAGTCGCATGTTAACTAATCAATCTCTATTCGACACCTATCAAAGAAAACATTCATCCAAATATCCAGCAAACAAACAAGTTGGTTAATTCGTAGAGAAATAATATTTGCACTATATTTTTTATTTATTACTCTTTCACCATTTGTTTTAGAGTAACTCTTACACAAACAAACTGATAGTGTATATACTATCGCTGTTAAATATATGACATATGTGCAAAAGTTGAATTTAATCATTTATTTTATTATATAGTCAAATAAATAAAAATGATTCTAAGAGTACCGACTAAAAAAAAGGGAGTGCAAATAGCATTTTCAATTCGTATTATAAAAAAATTTAAATAGAAAATAAAATGACAAATTTGCCCAAAAGAACGACAGATTCAAATCTATAATTTTAATGCTTGAACTTATTAGTTATTACCATTTATTGGCGGCTAAAGGTTGATTTTTTTTTAATTCAACAAAACTAATTTAGCTTTTGTTCGTGTGACGCCCTCCGGCGGCCCAGCTGGCAGTCACTAAGGAGATGTCCGGTGGTCCTCTAATTGTACTAACTACTATTATTAGTGATAAAGTGTCACTTAAATCAATAAAGGGACTGATTTTTATTTTTTACCTCCTACCAAGAACTCCACCAACAAAAAAAAAAAAAAAAAAAAAAAAAAAAGAACTCCACCAACAAAATTCAAGTGGGGCCTAGACAATTGAGTGTCATTGATTATTGGTAGTAAAGTCTCCATTCTTTGAAGCTTAGAAGTTAACTAGGAGAGGAACACCGCACTATGTGCGGTGTGAAGTTACAAGTTTAATATGCCCAGTAGGATATTAAAAGGTTAATATGACCAGAGCCCTCATTGGCTTTATTTTCCAACTAAAAATTATTTTTTTATCATTTTCTGTATGTGGTAGATAATGAAGCATTTTGTCAACATTTCAATTAAGAAAAGAAATAATACTAATAAAGTTGAAGAGCATAATCACACATAATTGAGATAAGCTCTCCAACTGTATGATGTATCTCATTAGCTGTGAAAAGTAAAATTTAAGATATAAGATACATTAATCCAGAAATATTGACTGCTATATCTAAAAAATGCCTCTCGTCTTTTCTTATCTAGCGTCACGTTCAATCAGCCAATTATAGTGGAACTATGCATTAGTGGTCAAAATTTTAAAAAAAAAAAAAAATCATCACACAGTTTGATATCTATACTATAGCAAGTGGCTGTTGAAGTAAATAATGACTTTTGGTAAAGATATTGGAAATGATAAAATAAAGTATCAAGCATTCATGACAAAATTCCATGAGCTTCCATTAGCTTCCAAGTTCCAGCTATCTAAATATCAATCAGATCTGCCAAGAAGGAATCATATTAGAATTTAATAACATTTTGTGTAAATAGTAGAATGACAATCTTGTTAAATCACAGGTAACGCATCCGTAGTTTTTGCCACACTTCATGGCAAAATTGTAAGGAAATACTAAAGCATGAAATATAAAACAAAATCGTCAAGAACACATTCCCTACTCCTAAGTTTGAGCCACCAATATATTTGAATAATACCTCTTGCCATTCAACTTTTTCTCAAACATTAATGTTGGATATATAAATAAAGAATAGAAAGCCAATAAACAGCAGATGCATTTTGAGCCACCATCTTATTTGGATAAATACCTCCTGCCAGCCAATTTTTTCTCAAACATGAATGCTAGGTATAAATAAAGAACAGAAAATCAAAAACAACATATGCATTTGAGCCTATAAATCATGTAGTTATATTTCATTCATGCCACATTTTCGCCAAGACAACATGAATGAACATAGGACATCAATTTAAACTGAAAGAAAATTTTCTCTTCTTTCTTAAAAAGCTCAATGACAAAACAAAAAGCTCCAAAAAATCAAGCAAAAGCTACAGAGAAATTTCAATATATTAGTTTGGTATTTGTTAGAGTTTATTTTTTAAATCCTAAAACGCAATTTATTCTCTATGTAATTCTTAGATTTTAATTTTCTTTTTTACATAAAGGTATTAGAAAATTCTAGTTGCCTAATTGAGAAAAGGTGGAGAAGCTAAGGAGTAATCACCACCTATTGA